TTGATGCAAATACGGAAGTACAAATAAAATTGTTTTTTAATATGTTTACAAATTGAACAAGTAATATAAGTATTATAAAAAAAAAATTATTTATGATGAAACATTGTAATTATAACATAATTACTTTATATATATTATATATAATTATAACAATTATAACTTATATATAATTATATATAATTATAACAATTACTTTCTTACATAATTACTTAATAAAAATCTTTCCTTTTGACATAAAATTATGAGATTAAATTATATACAATACCATTCGAAATATCATACTGAATAACGATATAAAAAAGGCCATTGTTCGACATGCTACGTTTTTTTACATATAGCATCCTATACTTTAACTAACCAATAACTTTAATCAATGTTCTTTGTTACTTGTTACTAAAATATTCGCAAATTATTAATATGATTCAAATATCAAATGTTCACTTTATTTTCATAAAAATTGTATCGTATTATAAATGTATATATGTATATTTTTGTCTATGTGGTAACTATATGTTGAATGCGTCGAAAATCCTACGTTAGACAGATACGAGTTTAGTTTAATTTTGGCACGATACATTTGTAAACAGAAAGACGATTGACACTTTTAGTAAAAGGTAAAGATGTGTTCAGTCAATTTTCCTATTCATTTACCACTATAAGCTATATTTAGGATTTATATTTTTGTAGATTTTAATATAAAGATTTTTATCAAACTTATACAATGTAAAATAAAATAATATTTTCCCCAAAAATATTCTATCTATGTTTGGAGTAGTACAGGCATGATGAAATTTTCTTTTTTACGATAATTTGGCGTTAATTGTAAATGATTCCGAGAAAGACGAATAGATACTAAAAATTGGATACGAGCGCGATAAATACAACGTATTCGCTATAGATATATATTCAAACTCGTCATGTAATTAGCGATAACTGAGGCGATATCTCTGGCAATATATCTATTTTTTGATTCTAATATATGTACTGCATCCATAATACGAATGGAGTCTTACATGGCCGTCAGGTACTTATAATTCTCCTTCCCTTGTTTTTCTTTTTTAACATGTACGCAATTTCCTACTTTTTTATACATTATATGGTTTCAAGTTAGTTTTACTTTTGTGACATTTGGAATAGTGAAAAATTGTCTAGTCGTCTACTTGAATCATGATATTTGAACCACGATTTGTAAAATCAATGTCTTTATCAAAAATTCTGCGGATAGAATTTATATATAAACAAAAATATCCTTCCATAATAAGATGGAAATATACAGTGTCTATTCTTTAAAATTGTTGCATTTTAGAATTTAATATTTGGAAGAAATATTGTAGAAAACAGCATACAACTCCTACAACTCTACACGAGACTTTAATACATTAGTTAATTGTGGCATGTTACCAGATGGTCCAAAAGCATTTGTCGAATCTGTTTCGGGAAATACGTGGTTCAGAATCGCGTAGTAATGAAATCCAGCCGCTGCAGCTACAAAAAGATGCCAGATTGCGTGCGCGCAAGGTATACGACCATCCGATTTGAAAAATACTAAACCAATGACGTATATTAGTCCACCCAGTTTCAATTCCGTAATATTATAATAGTTATACTGTAAAAAAGAATAACTTCTATAAATTTTTGATATTTGAAATTATCAAAATTACTTTTAAACTAAATTATTCAAAATATATTTTGCTTGAGCAAAATATTTGGCGTCTCGGCATTTTTAAAATGTAATCCAATCTAGAGCAAATATAATGTTATTTTACTTACATTGAGGATCGCGACGCTAGGTCCGATACCCATAACTATATAGAAAATTGTTTCGAGCATCTTATATTTTTCATGAAAAATCTGCTGGTAAAGGATACCCATTATAGCCATGATCCAGACGACATATCGCATCGCGAATAAGAATTCATCATCCGAGAAGTGTTCTATATTTAACCATGGAAAATAACTGGCTGCTATGAAGATATAAATCATAGCACGATCGCAACGATGCAACGCATCTTTTAATTGTCTAAAATATTATGTGCGGTGAATATCGTATCTTGTATGACGCAGTTAAAAGAAGTTAAGAATTACGGAAAGAAATAGAAAAAATTGGAATGTGATTAAATAATTATACCTGTTATGATTGCAGTAATGTACACTATGGAAGAAAGTTGATACTGCAAATACAAGGATCAAAGAAGTGCCGTATACGCAAGCAGAAACAAACTGAGTCCATGTAGCTGAACGCCGTACAAGTTCGATACCACCGATTACCGAAGGTACAACCCATATTCCATGAGTCGCCACATTCGCCACATGTTCGATAGAAGTAGGAGTGTACGCTTCGTTAGTGCAAGCTCGTGGATTCATCCATTTTATCCTGCAAATATATTCACAGTTTCACACTTCGTTTTCAATTTTTTTTTAATCGCAAACTATGTTAAGTTTCATAAAATTGCATATCGAATATCAAAAAAATCAGTGACGATAATGAAGTTATACATTCTTTAACATCATAGCATTGTATTGTTAAATATGAGATGTAAAATTTTAAATGCTAAAACTAATAACGTTCTATTATGTTTTCATTATATTTTTATAATATATAGCATATTTTGCCTATTGGCACTGAAGTCTCTGTTATATAAGGAATGGAATGTGACCAGTTATGTAAAATGCAAGATTAGTAGAGATCAAAGGTTAAATCCATGAAGATAATTAAATTAAGGAATTCTGAAATAACTCTATTACTATATATAGGTTTAGTTTATACAATTGTTACATAAGTAAATTAAAAGCGTAATAAATAAAGACTGAAAAATTGTAAAAAAAAAAAACATTTCTGACAAAATCAATTTTAAATTCTATAAGCATTCTGTCAAAGTACATGCATGTATATATATATATATATATATATATATATATATAT